TTCAAATGATGAACGCCCATTCAACACTATCAAGTAATTATTGTAGCAGCACAAACCGTTTGCAGACTTCAGATCTGCTCTCCAGGCTTTTATACTTCAAACGCTGCAGGCACCAGAGTGAGGTTATATCATGTGTGTTCAATAAACAGGCCAGTGTATGTGAATGTGTGCCCGTGTAGGTGTTGCATGCGTACGTGCACGAGTAAATGTCGCTCGGTTGTTCCTGATGATTGTTTTTTGCGCAGCGCTCAGTTGACTAAGCAGGAGATGAAAGACTTTCTTCTTTTTCTATGCTGAAAGCAGGATTATTCTTTTTGAGCTGCGGCTGCAATCAAGAGCCACCGGCTGGAACAAGCAGACCTGACGAAAAATGTGCAACGTCGTGTTAAACGTAGAGTAATGAGGTAGAAGCTTTAGACCAACGTCGGTTAGACACTGTTTCCACATGAGTGCCAACTGTGTATGAAACTATTTCTGCTCTCATGCTTCACCTCAGAGTCAGTGATTGATATGAAAAACAGAAATCAGGAAAAATCAATTAAGTGGAAGCATGGATTCAGTTACAGCCTCTTCTATAACCTACAATCTGGTTAATCTGTCTCTATAGCTATCACTACAACATGGTATAAGTTCAATAACAGCAAAGTAATTGAAGACCTGCACAGACATCTTTCTTCAGAGAAACATATTTTTATGATGTTTCAACACAAAGTCAACATCTGTAAATTTGATTATAGATGAGATATGGATCTAAACACAATCAGTGCATATACAGTCCCTGTAACTGCAGCATCAGTAGAAACGATTCAGCAGGATTTGCTGCAGAGGTGCATTTTAGAGTAAAACTTCTGAGTGTCTTTCTTTTTCTGCCTTCTGTTTTGTTCTGTGTTGTTTTGTTCCATGAATCGGGCTTCGTAAAGCTCTTTGTAACCTTGTTCACACAAGTGCTGTGAAGCTGATTTACGAAATATTATTATTTGAAACTCGGAAAAAAGCATTATTTTTTATAATCTTGTCTTTTTGTGTAGCTCTGGATCTATGTGAAGCAATCAGCGCCTAATCTCCGACGTTTTTTGTTCATAAGACACAATGTGCATTTAACTGTATATAAACAGAGCAAATATACACCACAAAAGTGAGCACGGCCTTTCACAGCATGAAATTATTCCTCAGGATAAGATCTTTGAATCTTTGAGATCTAATTAGTGTTAAGAAACCACTTTGTAAGCACCTTTTTAACAAAGAGGTCACAGGTGAACTGTAAAATGTCTCGCTACACCAGAGACTGGCATTTTGCTGCGACATTAGGAAACATTACTATGGTAATAGGTTCCATTAATGCAACAATGTCACCGATAATACGATTACTGTCAAGCAACAAAAGCCATATGTTCCTGCTACAGTTGCTGTTCAGGGGAAACAGTCAGCAAATGAGGACGAGAGATGCTGACACGTGAGATTATGCATCACAAGGAGACTATTGATGAGACGAAAATGAGACAAATAAATCCATCAGGCCGTTTCTATCCAAAAATAACGAAATGGATCCACTTGAAATGATAAATAATTTTCTTCAGCAAGTTATCTCACATACACATGAAGATGCATCACTTTGTTGTCTGAGTGGATAACAACGCTTTGAGAGGGTCTTCATCTCGAGAGCTGCCATGTTTTTAATTCTAATTTCATTTTGTGCATCTACATTACATCCATAAATAAGATGCTTTCAAAGTCAATGGAAATTCAGGTCATTTAACTTATAACTATGTTTGCAAATTACATTTTTGCTCCATTGTGTGTGGCCTCTCACCACACAGCACAGCCACAAATAGGAAATAAATTTGAGCCGGCAGCCAATTTACAGATAAGCCTCCTGTGTCATTATACACCGTGTAGGAGTGTGATAGTTTCATTAATGGAGATTCAAGCTTTTGAATTGAATTTTACCTCCTATGGCTCCGATGAGACATATTGTTGTGTTGTCTGGTGGAAATCTCCACTCAGAAATAATTAGAAGTGAGGTGAAGAAGCAGAAACACCTATAAAGGACAAATCGTAAGGTTGTGATGAAGGGAAACATTGTCCAAAAGGGACATAAAAAGGAGAGAAGGGAGAGGAGGAAAAGAAAAAATGCGACAAGATTCCGTTACGTTATATCTGGGGGCTAATTTGTAGCACAGTAGTACAGTTTTTAAAAGCTACCAATAGTCAACTTGATTCTATTTTAACTGTTAATGCACTGATGGCAGGTTTATAGGTTATCACTTTCAATTTGTGCCCAAATCGTGCAGTGTACAACACGTAAACATACTAGGATGTAGCCCACATCCCTATTGCCCGGGGCCCTGAAGTAAAATAAACTCACACTAACTAATTCAGACAGAGTTCCAGACTGTCGGAGTCCCACAGCAGGCAAAGCTGCAGTGTTGTAGCTCTGCTGCCAAAACAAGACAGCACCAGGAGGAAGCCTTTTGGGATTTGTCCATCTTGCTTGGGAGCTAATCAATCTCTTCCCAAACCTGACCTCTGACCTCTGCAGAGGACACGGAGAAAATTCTGCCTCAGCGGGTTAATATCCTTACACAACATTTGTTGACTACAGTTTAAATGGCAAAGCCTGTCTCTGGTTTAGTGTCGTTATCTGGAGACATGTACATTTTTTCTCTCAGTCTCCATCTGGTCGTTTTACACAGTGGCTGCCTTCTTAGAGAAATAAACAGCTAGCTGGTGAATGGTGCCTTAATTCGGTAAATTAACCCAATAGATGGTTTGACAGTGTTATATCCTGATTAGTAGACGCTGCCACCAGAGATACTGGAAAAAAGAATTCCTTAATTCCTCTGTCACCACAGCTTTACTCAAACCACCACTCAAAAACCTTTGGCTCTTAAGGTTAAATTATAAACTGTATATTAAAGATTCTGTGGCCTCACTCTAGGGTAGCCATCATGTCGTCTAACTTTATATCATTTAAATTAAAAGTATTATTGAGAATAATCACAGATATAGAAGATTCTTGACTTCAAGGTGATTGGATGAAGAACGGGAAGAATTTAAGATTCAGTAAAGCTGCATCAAAGACAGTTTTCACCAAGTGTGTCTCTGAGAAGAATAAAGAGAATTTTCAAACAAGTAAATCAAAGACTTGATGCTGACCACAGAAATTATTCATCATTGTTACATAAATATACTGCATCACACAGGTAACATTGTTCACCTCCTGAGTGAAGGAAACCCAACACAGACACGTACCTTTGACGGGAGATGAAAACATCACTTCAAAATATAATCTGTCATCTGATGATTGTTCAGGGCACAGACATAAGGAGATGGTCAGGAAATAGATTAAAGAAATAAGCACTTATTAGAATCTGGCCACAATCTAATAAACACATTTTAAGAGGAGGAGCATTAGTGCATGAGCAATCATACTGCACAACACCAATATATATGTTTTCTATGTTCTTTCTTCTGTGTGTGTGTGTGTGTGTGTGTGTGTGTGTGTGTGTGTGTGTGTGTGCCAGAGTGTCAGAGCACCAAAGACGAACAGCACAGCTCAATCTCAATTCAATTAACAGTAGCAGCTCATGCAAATGTAATCCATATTGTGGACACATCTCCACGTGCACACACACACTCACAAAAATTAGCTCAACAGCAACTGACAATCAACAACAGACAATGTCTGTTAGTGATCACAATTTGCATATTAGGTGAATGACACGTCACAGTGTGTGTGATATAAACCACATACACACACATACACACACACACACACACTGTACCGCTAATTCAGATGGATTGCATTAATGCACTGACAGCTGCCCTTCAGGGCATGTAGCCACCTCAACCTGGTTTGCTTCCACTTACTGATTAGCCGGCTGTTGCCTGGATGTGAGACGTGTGCATGTGACTGGGAGGACACCAGTTTCAGTCAGTGCGCCAGCAAGAGTGAAGCTTTACTATCCCTCAGCAGCAAAATGTCCTTGAGACAAAAACTGAACACAAAAAGCTGACGGTGACTTACAGGCAACAAGGAAAAGGTTTTTTAAATTAATGATGCACAGATCACAATACATCATGTTTTCTCAGTGTAGGCAGAGCATTAATACATCTGTCGGTGTGCTCCTGCAGGCACTTCAACCCCAGCCTCTCCCAAGACAGGCAGAGAGGTTTCACTCCTCTCTGTTTAATTGTTGGTTTTGTTTGTAAGCAAGATTACTCAAAAACAACTCAATGGATTTCCACGAAACTTGGTGGAAGGATGCGGCATGGATCAGGAGAGAATGCATCAAATTGTGGTGCAGATCCAGATCCGGATCAGGTGGATCAAATATTTCATTTCTTGGATCTTGATGGAAAAAAAAATCAGGCACAGAAACTGATATCTATGAGTTTGTGAAATTCGGTGCAGCTTAATTTATTCTACTTTTTAGATTTGTGGTTTTCAAGCCTAACCCACTCCCCCAACTGTGCCCCTGGCCCCCACCCAAATTGTATGCCCATCTGCCCCTGCTGAAGCATCCGAGGAGCTGAGGAGGGAGCAGCTTCTCTCTCTCTCTCTCCCTCTCTCTTCTCTCCCTCTCTCTCCTCACAGCAGAGGCGCTCGGTCCTCCTGGAGTGCGCAGCAGATCCAGAGTGTGTCACGCTGGATGATGCGCCTCTTCTAAACCGCTGCGCTCCTGCGTGACGCTTCCGCACCGACCGGGGCGCGATGTCTCCACACACCTGGCTGGATTTCGCGGTGGCCATTTGTTCCACCCGCTGCTCCCTTTACTCTGCGTCGTAGCGCGTCTTGTGCTGGGAACGAGATGTTCTGGATGTATTTTCTCCGGAGATTGTAAAAAAAAAAGTGGAGGAGAAGGAGCAGCTCTCTGAGACCATGTGGAGGAGAGAGGACGGGTCCCTTGGTGCGAGCACTGGAGGCAGAAAAAGACTCTAAGAGGATTTTTTATTTTATTTTTCTGCGCTTTCTTGAAAAAAGATGCTTCGATAGAGAGAAGAGATGGTAGAGAAGTAAGTGCTTCAACAAATATTTGGAATTCAGCACCAGAATAATGAAATTTAAACAAAGATTAGGTAATTAGTGAGTTAATTGGAGAGGAATTTTGAAATTTCTTCTTCCTCTTGCACAAAGTAATCTTTTCGTGATAGTTTTATTATAATTTCTCATTATTTTTATTACATGTATGAGCTTCATTTCTCGTCCACAGTAACAGTTACATAACTCCACAAATATATGAAATTCATTTCTGTTTGATGCGTTTGCTGCGCATGATGGTTTCAGCTCATTATTCGTTGACTGAGCCTCTCCATAAGTTGTTTACGGTAAAATACTGGCCATCGGGACCTGATGGGGTGATTATGTAATTGTATGTAGTGAAGCAAGCTGTTGGGAAAACAGGACTGAGATACAGACTGTTCAATTTTTCATGAGCCTCCAGTCAGTCATGCTGTTTATTTCCCCAAAAAGCAATAATAATATAATCACTATAGTATTTCAGCTGCAGTCCTGTAGGAGACATGTGCTCCTTTGATATGTGTGGAGTGAAATGATGTTGGGATCATCTTTTATATACAAACTTAACATCTGAGTAGTCAAAGCAGCATGATTCCCATTGTTAGATCAGGCTCATAGCACTGAAGTCATGATGTGACCTTTAACGTCAGTGTTGCAGAAGTACAGGTTCTGAGGAGCTGTTGCACACGTTGCATTAATGAATGAAACCAGCAGCTCCATACCTCCTGCAGATCTTTGCATGTTAGTGGCGTGACGCTGTTCCACTGGTTTATTGCAGGATGGGATAAATGAGACGAGAGAAATTGGCTGGACAGTAATGATACAGAAGATTTTGGCTCCTTGTGGTTTTAAACAATTCTTTTCACTTTAGGTTAATAAATACACCTGCTTGCACAGTGTATGTTGGACCTTTGGTTTATTTATTACGAGTGATAATTATATTTTATACCCTAACTTTGTCATATATTTGTGACTGAAAATCATTTCCTCTCCTTTATTTTGAAGGGGAGGACATTAAAAAGCCATGGTTACATTGTAACAATCAAGCACTATGTTTAAAGTTCAGTGCTAAACCAACTTCCTTCAGTAATTAAATCATTATATATGTAATCATTCTCTTTAAAAGAGCAGAAATGCAGCGTTGTAAGATGTGATAAGGTTGCTTTGGTTAATCTGGCAAAACAATAATGATTTGGTAAAAACCATAGTGATGTGACGAATGAGTAACCCTGTGGTGAGTCTCTTGTTATGGAAAGAAATCAATTCCACATTAATCAGTTCCATCCTTGCAGTGGCTGCACCTGACCTTCTTGACCCCAAGTCTGCCGCCCACAACTCCAAGCCTCGCCTGTCCTTCTCGGCCAATCCTGTGGTGCTGAACCCTCCGGAGGATGAGTGCGACACCCGGATTACAGTCATGAGGTGGAAAACAGTGTCCGCGATCTTCTTCCTGGTGGTGCTCTACCTAATAATCGGGGCAACGGTGTTCAGGGCTCTGGAGCAGCCGCACGAGAGCTCCCAGAAACTGGCCATTCTTGCAGAAAAACTGGACTTCCTGGCCACGCACGCCTGCGTCAACTCCTCCCAGCTGGAGGATCTGGTGAAGGTAGGTGATAGTGTTCATGTCTCCTCTGAAGGAACTGTTGATTGACTGACTAAATGTCTCAGGTTATATTTTCACACCTGTCCATTTCTCTGTTGGTTTTTTTGTGGGAAGAAAGATAATGCAAAAGCACCTGATGGATTACCACAGAACTTGGCAGAAGGATGCGGTATGGGTCGGGAGAGAACCCAATGAGTATTAGTGTGGAAAACAAATTTGGGCCACCTATGGCACCTTTGGTGTGCATGCAGTATTTCTATGGCTGCCTGATTCAACCTGATTTGCAGGCTGTCAACAACTCAAACAACTGGTTTGTTTAAACAGATTTATTTTGTTGCACCAGAGGCTCTCATGATTTGACATCTCACTTCCTGTTTGATTACAAAACCTCATACACTCTCTTTCAGCAACCTATGAACAAATTTAATTAAAATAAACTCACACTGAATCTAAAAACAGAATGTGAAATAAATTGTTTCGACATTCATTCATTTTCAATTTAAAAACAAAGAATACAACTCCACTATGAATACCAGAGATGAGAGAGGAGTCTCCTAATGAAAGAGATCCACTGGTTTAATGGCTTTTCCTTTATCGATTATTGGACTTCATCACCAATCAAACCTGTCAGGTTTGATGAGCAGCGTTTCCTCTTGAGGACTCCAGTTATGTTAGACTTGATGATGATGATTACTGCTCTAATGTGCCAGAGCTGAAAGGTCTTTAAATCCCTGTGGTTTATCTGTTCTAGCAGCAAAGGGGCCTCCCAGTCATACACTGAGTCCCTATGCCAAAGCCTCCTCCACGCTCACTATTGTCTCACTATTATTTACCTATATACTGAATAAAATGTAATTATTGTTTGTTAATTTCCCTGGATATGAGACCGATATTTCCATCCATGTCGTCTTAAAATCAGTCTTCTGAAGGTTTGGGTGTATGAGGTATTTTTCCATCCTCCCTTGATAGTGGAGGTATCTTGGCTCGAGAAAGTAAAACTGCAATTCTGTGATTGGTCAGATTGTAGATTGAATATGAATAAATCAGACGTCACAGGTGAAAGCTATGTTTGTCCTCTGTGTTGACATTCAGTGAAATAAGTTCATGTAAGTGGTGACCATGCTAAAACTGACACATGCTGACAATTTTGAGCTTCTAACTGAATAATGTTAGGTCTATGTTTGCAGAGGGGGCTGTTTTTGCTTGAGATTGGATGAAGAGCTGGCTGTTTCTTGGCTTTGAGAGGCTGAGTTCATGTTAGAAGATGGTGTTGATTCCTGTCCTGAGATCTGTTAGATAACGTTCTCTTGTCAGAGGGGACTTAATGACTGTGGATCCCTGGACAGATGAATTTATGGGGCTCTTAAATCCAAACCCCTATTAAATCCATTTGTCAATTTCATTAATACACCATAAAAACGTTTCTTATGAAGAATGATAGCAAATAATACACATGCTCACGCTTGTCATTAGTTTTTTCATTATTTGCTATTGTAATCAGACCTTATCTTTTTTGTTACCCTTGGCAGCACATTAATTGCAATAACAAAGTCCCCATGATTGTTTCTATTGTTTTCACTGGTAGAGCAAACATCTTAAGTGGTAGAGATTATTTATGGTTGGAGGTAATAACAGTATGAACAGCTGAGTCCTCAGTGCTCTTTGTTTACTGCACCACTTTTTTTTTAGCAACACTCGCACTGTAGCTCCAGGGATGATACAATATCTGTCTGTGTTTCCACTGCAGCAACTTCTCCAGGAACAAGGAACCTTTGCAGGGACTAAAACCTTTGCAGGACTAAAACTTCCAGATACCTTTTGTTAAAATGTGGCTTCTGTCCACCACCTCGCCCTGAAACATCTTAGGAACTATCGGATTGATTATAATGAAATGTTGTACAGATGTTGAAGGCCCTAAGGATCAAATCTAGTCTGACCACTCATCTAGGAAATGATGGGATTTGTAGCAAATGTTACACTTAATACCTCCATGTTGAGGTAAATTATATTAAATTGGTTTAAACAAGGATATCGTCTGCTGTGAAACAGATGGCGAAGGTGTGGTATGCCCCGGTAAGACCCGTAATAATGATATTTTCACTTAGTCAAATGTCAATTGATGGCAAACTGTCCTCTGTCTCCCAAAACGTCTTTCAAAGTTTTTTGTTTTCAGAGAAGGTATCACTCCTTCTATTATTGACCTTTCTGCTGAATCAGAGTGTGTCATTACAGCTTTCAGAAGAAAAGAAGTATATACATACAGGATAGCTCTGCAAAACTAACAGCAGTGATTGCTTGCTCAACAATTAAAGCCAAGGAACATGAGGGAAAGGGGCCTGCACAGAGCATTTAAAAAACAAAATGTTGTCTTAATGTCATTAGGTTATTAAGCTTATGAGCCTGGTTATAAAATAACAATACTAACAAAGAAACAGCTGTCTTTTAAGCTCCAACTAATTACTTCTCTTTTGTGCTTCAACTCAGGTTTCTCCCAGTCTTTCTTAATTATTTATACAAACACACACACACACACACACACACAATCAACCTTTGTATTCTCTTGCTGATAAAAATCCTGTCAGCAGAGTATTGAGTAATTTAAAAAAAAGTGAGCGATGATGATTCTATCTCTCCTTGTTTGTTGTGCTCAGCTTAGACACAGCCAACGTGGTCTTCACATTATCCTGTCTTATCATTTCTGTTGGCCGTAGTTTGTTTGCATACAACTCAGTGCCAAAACGCTGAATTAATATGGCTGCTTTGGCTTGGAAACAAAGGGTCTAACTGAGCCAAGCCTGTCTGATGGTTTGGTTTGCTAAATGATTATTTCAGAGGAAGAGTGGAGGCAGGGTTTCAGAATTCTGTCTTTGAACTATTTCCTTTATTGTATTTGGAAATTTGAAAAGATCTGACAAAAATGCTTAAATGTTGATTAATTCACCTTTGTACAAAATGCACCTGTCTGTGAATACATTTATTTCCTCTGTGTCCTTTGGGGGGTCTCATTTTGGACCTTTTTTACACATAAGCTATCGGACAGTAACAGTTGCCTATTTACACAACCAGCAGACACAGCAGAACATCATGTCCGTGCCCCTTTTAGTTCTATTCCTGTCTCCGACAACAATTCAGAAAAATTATCTGTCTCTATTTTGTGCTTGAGGCTTCACTGTGATGTTTGCCAGTGAAGCATTTGAAAACTTGTCATTGAGTCCTGACTGATTACAACCAATCAGGAAGTGAATTCCGATCATTGCATCTTGGTTCTGTTTCTGCCCGTCCATCCCACAACACAGCCTCAGAGTTTTCAAACTAAAATGGGGCCAGTAGCGTATCCAAGCTTCTCTGTTTTAGACGCTTGAAAATGCTGAAGTAGCATGGACATAAATTATGCAACAGTGATGTGTTTTAAAAGCTTAACAATGTCTAATAAGGGTACAAGTTGTAGACCATAAAACAGAAACAATGGACTGAAGAAACTAAAACTCTTTGTAGGGCTGAAGAAAACTGCAGCACTGGGTGATAATTCTCTGCAAGCCCCTTGTAGGTTTTATTAACTATTAACAGAAGTTATTTAAGAACCACAAACAAAATATCTTTCATCTACATGGTTTTGAACAAATAAAAAACATCTGTATGGTTGATATTCTGAAATTAGTTCAACGTTATCACCAGACAAAAAGGTTCAGTAATGACACATGTTCAATGTCAGCATTTCTGAATTTCGCTCTTTCTGCAATATGTGTTTATGTCAAATTAGGTACAGTTAAGATGACAGAAAGACACCAACCGCTACACACTGTTATTTTTGCTTTAGTGACACACAGCTTACAACATCACACTGTTCAACAGCATCAGCCTTTATCTCTCCACCTATTGACCCATCATGTCATGTTCACCTTGTGTCATTATATTCGTGCCTGTTCCGTCAATTTCCAGTCCATTATTTGTCCATTTGAACACTCGACCTTTACGGCTTTATCACGCTCGACAGCCATAGGTTAATGAGAACTCTCTTAGTTTCACCGAGGAAGATGGATCATTGCAAAACACATCCTGAAATTGCAGAGACCATAAAGTGTGTGGGTGGGAGTGTGTGTGTGCACAGACTCCAGTTCAGGAGGACTGTGTGTAGTGTTATATACCTCTTCGTTTTATTTCTTCTCTGCTCCTGCAGGTGTATTGATATGAAATATAAATATTGGAGAAAAGTCGTGCAGGTTTTCACAGACCACTAGACCTAGATCATTTTTATTGGTCTCGAGTAGGAGAAAATATCCCACATATACAGAGGGGAATAAAAGCTTTAGTCCAGTGAAGTATTCCTCTGCAATTTATTAAATAATCTGAAGCAGTGCTGGCTGCTCCTCTGAGATCTCAGAGCGTTTGTCTCAGTAATGATACAGAAAATCCACTCGCACAAAAACCCTTTGTCTTTCTGCAGTGGACTGAAGTCAGTGAGCCGAAAAACCCCAAGTGAGAGCAGGCTAACACAACATTCAGAGAAACTGACCATCCATTGGCCTTGCTAGGTTTCAACTGTAGCACAGCACATATGCAGTGTATAAAGACAGTGGAGGATTTTCCACTTGGGAAGATTTACCACTCAACATTTGTAGGACTTTCTGAGATAGTGGGTCAACCCAGGCAGATCTGATCAGCAGACCACTGTCTTTATGAAAAACCCTAAACTCCACTCTGGACTTTCAATTCTGTGTTTTGCCATCATACATTAAGTGAGGGCGACTTCAAAAAGGAAGGTTAGTGAAATATTTAGTTTACCTTCATTAAGTTTTGTCAGGGAACAAGCAGTCAAAGAACTGACGAGCACAAGATTACCTTTTAAAAGATGGGATTTAGTTCACTCTGAAATACCAAAATGCAAAGGAGCGACAAAAAAAAGGAAAATAAGTTGATCATCGGGCTCATTAAAAGCGGTCTCCCAATTTCTACTCAAAACAACTGACCTGACAAATAAGGCAAAGGGGAGACATATAAACTGGCTGATCCGACCATTCGGAAATGATGAGGAGGAAAACAAATTGATATCAAATAAAAGTTTATACAAAGAAACCCCATTATCCCCCATGCTGATGCAGCACTTGGTCTGGTCCATTTAACTGGGCCTCTGTATTTAATCAGGCTCCACCCTCAGCCACATCCTTTGGCCAAACCAGGAAGGAGGACTGGAGCTGCAGAACACGGTAACGCAACAGCAAAGAAAACTGAATGAATACAACAAACAAGGACAAAACGGTGTTAACTATGTGACTAGAATACAATGTGAGTCAAAAATACAGCAATAAACAAGATTTTAACCAAAAATGACTGCTTTTGTTTAAGAAATGACAACTGACAACTGATGTGAGTGTGTGTGAAACCATATATCTGAACTGAATCCATATTGATGTGTGGTGAGACAGAGAGAATTTTACAATTGACTTTAATTGTGACTGGATGTCACACGTTTCCAAAGCTAATAAATATTGTCTCCATTTCATTTGAACAAACCTTGTAAATGTCATTCTAAGTTTTCATTCTTACACTGTGGGTTAAGCAGCACGTCAGGGGCAAAATAACTCATTTTCAAATGGTATTTTTATGGCATAGACCAGGCTTGTGGGTTCAGGGCCGCCTCATGTTTTCGGGCTAATGCAACGCTGCTTAAATGTTTCTTTTATTTCAATAATGCAAAACCCTTTAACATATGGAGAAGCCATTGTTGCGCTAATGTCTTGCTAGTTGTTCAAAATGCTTAATTTAGTCAGGGAATCTTTATCAGTTTTGCTACATCAGAAAATGTGTATTGGATGCTGGCGTACAAACTAGATGCTGATCCTCCAGTGTGCGTCTGAGCCTCAGCTCCTTATGCCTGTGTTTAGGTGTCAGTGGGTGTGAGAGGCTGTGCAGTGGTGTGTGTTCCCTCCAGCTGTTGGCTTTACTCCTCTTCTGTCTACTGTCATGTCAGCTCAACCCCTGAGTGGGAAAACATGTTGCTGTTTTCTTCCCTGTGCAGCCGACTGGTGTCTCAAAGGTTCGTGGCACGCAAAGCTTTAATGCTGAGCCATGAAAACGTGCGTCACACCAACTATTCTCACCTGACATACTCACAATCAATCACTAATCACCATCACTGTCCCTGTCAGACTCTTCTTCTGGGGTCAGATAGTTAGTCTATCTTTTAATAATTTTTTACAAGATTTTGAATGCATTTGGTTTTGTCTTCATTAAACAAAATCTTCAATCTGCTAATGTGTGGTGTCTTTTTCTGTCTACGCAATATTTCCTAAATGAACAATTTTTCCACTTTGAAAAAGTATGTCAACATTATTGGACCCAAAAATACATCATGTGATTTGATCATGCTTGTGTTATTGTAGATTCCAGTGGGTTAACACAAAGCTGTCTTATGCAAACCTATGGGGCCCTATTACATCTGGCACCAAGCAGCACCAAGTGGGACACTAGTACCTTTGCCTTTGTCACTTTTCTTGCCCATAGCCTGAGTTGCATAAACAGAAAATGTACCTTGCTGCTTACTCTATAGATACAGTTTGCATGTCCAAAAATGTGAGCGCTTGTTGACTATCTGTATTTTTATAAAAATGAGGATCGTTGACCCTCTAGAGTTAAGCTCATCTTTACATGTGACCACAATGTTTGTTTAAGCAGATAAAACATGCAAATGTTAACTGTTAGTCCGGAAGGTGACAGGTATGTAAAACATCTCTTGTATTTCATTAAGGTGACAGACGCTCCTCATGGTTTCTCTCAGCTCTTAATTGGTTTTGGTTGGATATTTTTCTTGGCTGTTGCTTATTCCCTAAGAAATTGGATGCACACCGCTGGTTTTCTCATGTTCTTTCTGCCTTACATCACTCTCCCTCTGAGACAGACTGTGCACTAACTTTTTCTTTGTTTTTTAAAATTTCTTTTCCTGCTCCAGCAAGTCGTTTCTGCAGTTCGGGCGGGTGTGAATCCATCAGGAAATTCATCCAATCAGACGAGCCTCTGGGACCTCAGTTCCTCTTTCTTCTTTGCTGGAACTGTTATCACCACCATCGGTAAGAAAAAGCAATTTCTTGAGCAACTCAGTTGTCTTTCTTATCTTTGTAGACTCCTGATAACACTTGTTGCCTAGAAAGATATTTCAAGAGAAGAAATGCTAGAGTGGGGACATGGCATTTTTGACATGACACATCTCTGGCATAACAAAATCAGACACTTATTTTACAGATTGTTCCTTATTGCACCAGGATACTATAGTTCACCTGCATCAACACTTTTCTTTGCACTTGCTACTGCTTTAACAAAAACAGTATTGAAATATAATTCTCAGCAAGAAAACTCAAGTTTTTTTCCCCAGAGACATAAAGTGTCTTGCAAAATACCCAGAAATGCAAACAGGAACATAAAGGTCCAAGTGTCCTGCTCAACCAAGGACACTGACTAAAGAGCTTGTTTGAAACTTGTTTGTTTAAACACCTTGTGAAGCTTTGTGTGGTAAAAATATATTTCAAATTACTCCTGAAATGTGTCTCAAGGGTGAGTTGCTAAGATGTTCTCTGGAATGCACAGCAATAAATTTGTCTTTCACTATAATAACAACAATAATAGATGTATCTAATAATTCCACATGAAGAAATATCAGCTTCACACTTGGCATGTATATTACTAAGAGCCCAGTGAAGTGCATTGGTGAATTTGGTGTGATTTGGACACGCTACACCTTCAACACTAATAAACTAAAAAAGGCAACCAGCGCTCTGTAGCAGTGGCTGGGACTCATCTACGCAAGTGAAGTTGTTGATCATGATAACAGCTCGATCACAACATCAATTCATTCTCCAGTTTGGGTTCTGAGTCGAGTTCCCGTGACTAAGTTACTGCAGTTCACTTTTTACAGAAAGAAAGCTTCTAAGAAGCAGGTTATAGAACGGCCGCTGCATAATAGTGATGATGCTGATAACTAGAGGGGCGCTTGAAGAGAGCACACCTCCCCTGAGGCCAGCATCCTTTCTCTGTGTGTTATTGATCAAGATCTGTCTGTTTAGTCATCCTCCACCCCTCCCCAATGTGTCATGGAAATTGTATTAGTAGTTTTTCAGTAATCCTACTGACAGACTGAGACATAACCTGCTTGATGGAGTTAACAATAATAATTCCTGGATGCATAGACAGATATTCTGTTCATATAGAGTCGATGTGGAACTGGCAGATGAAGCAGCAGTTTGACAGGTTTTTCTCTGAAACTGTTTCATTGAACAGGAACTGCAGCCCAAGGAGAGTAAAGGGATCTGACACTATAATATGAATATGATTGTGAGGGTCCTGTCCTCATTTGGTCTTAAGGAGTTCTTCTCCATGCTCCTTTTTACACAATTACTCACTCTGTCACCTCCAGCTGTAGGAGCTCACTGATCTCACACACACACACACACACACACACACACACACACACACACACACACACACACACGGCTTGTCTGACAACTCATGTGGCTCTTTCAATTGGACCTTGACAAATTGGTGTGTTTTAAGTGGGCTGCTGGGCTCCATTTCACATTGCTAGCAGCCAGGCAGAGCTCAGCCTCCATTTAGAAAATGTAATACCTTTATGAAAATTGGGCTTTAAGCGCTCCAGTTGGAAAATGTGTTTACTTATTTTTTAGATGATCAGATCTTTTACTTGCTAAGCCAAAACAAATTTGACACATTTCTAACATTTGCCGCGCTGCATTAACCACTTGCTTGTTCCTTTGCTCACCAGTAAGAGATTAACTGGCGAAAGCAAAATGTTACAGCTTTGCATTAAAATAGTGTTTTATTTTAACTTCTGTACTACTAACCCTGTATGGAAGTGATGATTGCTGTCGTTGTGTGGCCTGGCTCAGGTTAAATCCTTTGAAAACAAATGCATCGAAAATAAAACTCATAAGTGAAGAAACAAAACAAATAAATGAATAAATGTAGAAATGCATGATTAATTTGTTTAAATAGCCTGAAACTGGTTTGCAGTTTTACTTGTGGAAGGTTCCAGCCTGAAATATTGCCTAATTATTTTTTGTAGTTAGCTGCTGTTTTGGAGCAGCAAAGAAGTGATTTCTTGGAAAAAGAAAATTGTGGATGTACTTTGACAATTCTGCATTTTTGGAAGTATTGGAGGCATTTATGATGCTGGTTTCGATATCGGAACATCGCTCACCTAAGAATCAACATGTTCACTATCTGTTGTTCACAGGTGCTACTGTGATTTATAGCTAGTTCTTTGAATAAGGCAGATTTACTGTGGATTGACTGAACATACAGTGATGTTTTCCCACAAAGTTCACTGCGGCAGTCTATTTAAAAACCACAGCTCTCAAATGTTTGCAAAGTGAAGGTGCACAGAAATGGAAAAGGCTTGTTAGCATACACAGCATATAATTTTCTGCCTGTTGGTAATCACCATCATTTTGTCTGGTACAAAATGTTCTGTCGCTGATGCTGCTGTGCAACAAAGTTTACAGAAGAGATTCTTAAATAATAATGTCAGACATTACAGTTTACTTCTATTCACCAGGTTTTGCTCACTTCAGCATTAGGTGGAAAAGCAAAAATATAGATTTCTTTGTTTCTTGAAACTTGGTGGATTCGAGCAGATTCAGTATGGGGGCAGATCCAGGATTTTATTTTATTTTTTTCATATTATCACCTATACCAGGAAATTATTCATGAATCTTGATGAATCAGGCACATTTATTGAACTGATATTTATGAGTGCATGTAATTTAGTGCAGCTTAATTGAATTCAAGGGGACTGTTGGCTCTTGGCGACGGTATCCCCCCACTTTTACCTGACAATGAACTGAAATAACTTACATCTTATTGCCTCTCCTCTCTCCCCTCTCCTGGCAGTAAAAGTTACTCTCTGCACTTCATCATGTGGGGCTCCTGAGTTATGTCTCAGCAATTCCTGCTGAAACTCACACTCCCCACAGTGTATAGATCAAAACAAGTCTGTACGGAATAATAATTATGACTCACTTTTATAAACCTGTCCTCCTTGGACTCTGTCGTGTCTGTTTCCACGGTTTTATTTTAATATTCAGGGTGAAAAAAAAATACTCTTGAATCTGTAGTCCATTTATTTTCAGGCATTTTTAAATAAAACCATACTTTCCCTATTTTTTCACTGCTCATGTTTTCATACTTAATGTCCATAGAAGGCTGTTTTACTTTATCATTAATATTATAGAGGAATAGGAAATTCCTCTTGTGAATACCACATTTCTATTCCATTGTGTAACAATGATACCTTAGGTGTTCATTAATATTCTTATATTATTCAAATATGAGTTGTTAAAAACAAGACAAAGCCAGTGCAGATTCTAATTTAACATTTGTTATGCAGCGCCACTGGGAGGTCTTAAAACGAATAATCAGGGATCCTGTCCGTGTTGATCGGGTCGTGAAATTAGACTTGATTGACAGTTCTTCTCACATTTAGTGTCACCTCACTGCAGAGTGAGACTGTGAGGTCATTAGGAGGCCACCTGCAGCTCCTGTCCTCAGACTGATGACTGCAATAATAAATAAGTGGACGGAGTTCATAATTCAGATGCTAATTAAATGCTAAATAATACATCTCATGCAGTCAGGTTTATGCACAGAGAGGTATACCTTGTTTACCAGGATATGGACCAGCATACACCCTACGTCTGCTTTTTATAGCTGCACATGATTCTGGGTTCGTAGATGAAACGCAGTGATGGACCTGTGTGTCTATATACAGACTGTTGTGTCTTTTCATTTTTGTTTGTTTCTTTTTTAGTTTTCCTTTTTGCTTTGAACAGAATGTGAATTAAAAACTCTAGTCTGACTCAGACCTCCATCTCTTTCTAATGAAATTCCTCAAAGCTGTTTTTTAGATTGATGTGTTCACAGTCAAGCTTTGTAAGAAGTTTTCTCATTTATCAACTTTATTTTAAACTCATGTCATCTTCTACCAGCTTGGATGGAACTATAATGTACATTAATGGTAAATGGGCTGCATTTATATGGCACATTTCTACTCTTATCGACCACTCAAAGCACTTTGCAGTACAAGTTGCATTCACACACACGCAGACACTCACACAGCTCTTTGATTTCACTATCACACACTTTTCACACATTGTTGGCCCAGCTGTCAGGGGCGATTAGGGGTTCAGTATCTTGCCCAAGGACACTTAGGAATGCTGACTGGAGGAGCTGTGGATCAAACCACTAACCCTCTATTTAGTGAAGACCTTCTTTTCCTCCTGAGCCACAGCTGCCAATAAAAATATATGTATATACTTTGCAAAGGACCACAATTCCCAGAACTGTCCCTCAGCGCTTTGATACAAGACACTAGCAAAACTTCCTTGCACTTTTAGAGGAAACAAAGTATTCATCAGGTCTCTTCCCAAGGACAAGTTCAAAACAGAAAGGATGGAGGAGTGCGTAACATGCAAAGTAAGAAAAATAAGACAAGAAAAATTCAAATTGATAGCAAAACATATTCCTTCTTGAAGAGACTGCAACAGTAAATTACAAACATATTTATTTGCAGCTGCAGAGAAACGCAGCATTCACAGGATATAGTTGCATCATCAAACGGATTTATGCATTCAAGTAAATAACAATGTAAATAGACTGTATTTTATTGTCTCCATTTATTTCTATCATCCACAGGTCACATTCACTCATTCACACCCTGCTATCACAGTTGTTTGGGGTTCAGCATCTTGCCTTAGGACACTTCAATATGTCAGGGACTTGAACCACACACCTGATTCGTAATAGACCCGTTTATAAAAAACAAATGTTCTCAAAGACCCAAAATGTAAAAATGTTGCTTAGCAACTATTTCACTTGATTGTTATACAAAGTAAAAGTTCTTAATATTGCTCATCTATTTTTTTTAAATATTTAATTGTATCTCTGTGTATTTATATGTAATCATATTTGTATGTTTATTTCTATCATCGTCTTCTTTGTTATTACTGTCTTTGTATTTGTTTGACCCTGGGTTGGGGGAAGAATGGGATCTCATAATTGTTTCAAACAGAATACATGTCTGTATTTTGCATAGTGGAAAATAAGAAAACAAACAGAAGTGCAGCACATACACAGATTTGAAGTAAATAAAGAACTATTCATTTATGAATACATACCTTTTGCCTGATGGACTAATTAACTCTGTCTGTGTCGTCTCTCAGGGTTTGGGAACATCTCTCCTCACACAGAGGGAGGTCGGATCTTCTGTATAATCTACGCTCTGCTGGGGATTCCCCTGTTTGGATTCTTATTGGCTGGTGTCGGAGACCAGTTGGGAACCATTTTTGGGAAGGGCATCGCCAAAGTGGAGAAGATGATAGTGGTGAGACCCCTTGTCAACTCTGAGTGTTTACCTCTGTGCAATGAGCTGTTTTAATCAGATCGTTTTAAAACTCAATTATCCAGGTAGGACGAGGGCAGCTGTAAAATTGTATTGCCGGAGATGTTCCCATAAAGTGCTGTGATATCCAGGTGTCAAGGTTACAGCTGCGTAGTGGATGAGCAGTCGGTATTTCACCATGTGGAAAACGTTTTTTAAGTTTTAATTTTTTTTTATTTGGTTGCCATGTCAACACAGCCCAGTACAGCTTGTTCCAGTAGTGGATGCTCAGTTCAGTACAACAAGTTATTTTAGAGTCGTATTTCAAAAATCAGCTTTTTTCATTCTGCCTTTTTTAACTGAACGTACTCATATACGTCTGTTTATGGCACTGAAATACATACACAAGCACACACAGCTCAGTGCATCACTCTAAAATAATGATGTTAGTCCTGGCAGCCACGTTGCAGGTCACACACTGACCTCTTTTCACATACAAGAACATACAGTATCGTTAGAAGGCACTGTTGTTCATTCTGAGTCTCAGTGAACTGTGCAGGAGAGTCTGGTTGATTGTTGGAGGTTTGGCTTCTCCTGAAAAACCAATGCAATCAAAAGGCTGCTTGTGCACAAGTCCGATATCTGACAGGGACAGTTGCAATCAAGGAGCATCAACCACCGAAGAGTAGAATAAGTGCACCAGACTGTAATTGAATGTAAAAGCTGATATTTGTTTTTTCTTTATTAGAACTTTACCATTATTTATGAAAGCGACAGTGTAGCTATTTAATAAATTGGTATGTAATAATAAATCACAAAATCATTACTAACCTTTTCCATATAGATGGATGGAAACAGTGTGCATCATTAAGAAAACAGAGTAAAGAATATGCAGTAGAAGAAAACAGGCTCATAGAGAGAAAATGTAAAATGATCATCAAATAATCAGTTGGAGTCTTAGGTTGAGATCCTATAAATGCAGAAAGGAAAAGATGATTGTTATAAAGGTATTAAAGAAATCTACCTCAGTACCTGGTCGGCTTTTGTCCTGAAATAAGGAGCAGTTACAGTTGATTTGAGAGTTGGCAGAACACACAGACGTGTTGGGAAAACTGCGACACTGTAATTAGTTTCTGAATATAACACTGTCGAGTGTGGCTGTGAAGAGGTTTGAATGGATTCCTGTAAAATGGCAAGCAACTCAAAAGGTGAAACAACTGATTATTCTGCTATATGATGAAGAATCTCTACAGTCACACATACATGTTAATGACATGGTGAGTAGCGTTTGACATCTGGAGGTTTCAATGGGCTATCAGGGCCATGGCATACTCATGCCTGTGTTGCACATGTGATTGGTGTGTGTATCGGTGGGACCTCAAAAGATGGCAGCATTCATATTCAGGATCTTTTGGCTTAATTTCGGGATAGTGGGAGGAGGTAGAAACGCATCGTCCATCTTTACATGCAGGTATGATCTGGACCCACTCAGCAATGACACCTGGGCAATAAAAGAATCACGTCACCATTTTATTATCATACGCAAGTTAATTTCCTAAGTGTCTCATGTTCCTTTATAGCTTTTGTAGCTTGTTGTGATGGCTCGAAGTCCCAAGACAGCAGCAAAGACTCAGAAAACAACCAACTGAAACCAAATAAAAACTAAACACTTCGACTGTGTCATTGTTGGCTCTGTGGTCTCTCTCCCCGGAGACGAGCTGAGTGGTTGGCAGCTTGTTTGAACAATGGAAATTGATTAACTGTAGCAGCCGCTGAAATCTCTGCAGTGAAGACACTGCCTGAGAATCCTCCTCATTAGCCCCTTAGAAAACATCACTGTTTACTCTTCACTTTATCTGCTCCTGTAAGGCTCATTCCCTGTAAACTGTACACTGTTTTCTACTCCACACCGCGAGGACATGACAGACAGACTTGGTGCTCTGAGGCCTGTCTGCCCCCCCCCTCGAAAGCACCAGGCTTACATAACTCTCATAACTGGGGGGGGGCAGAGCAGGAGACACAGGGAACCAGCTGAAAGCAGTCACCTCAAGTGGAAGGGCAGCAGGGGGATTGGCAGCCCACCGAGCACACTAAGTGCTGAATATGTGATGAGAAAGATGGAGTGCAGGCGTCACCTCGAATGAAAATCCTCAGAGTTACAGTTGGAAGCACAGATTGTAGCTGTGATGCATCCGTCAGTATACATGTTACTATGACTGCTTGTGAAATATCCAAGTTATTTGATATTACAGCAAATGCGTGGTACGTCAAGTCATGTGCAGCTTTTTCAGCTCGAGTGGGCGAAAAGTTATGTCAAATTAACTTGACAGCCTGAGGTTTGAGGCGTTAGAAAGCGGATTGAGTGTATTTCTAGATGGAGGTTGGCGGAATCACGAAGAAAATCATGTAGGAAAATCAGAGAGAGAAATTCAGAGAACAGGTCGTGCACTACAAGAAATTGAGACCTTTGGATCAAACAGAAAATTTTTCATTTTGATCATTAAGCAAATGCTATTTTAATGAGATACTAAAGAGATTTCCGCCACATTGCGAAGTAACACAGACACATCGACTCTATTAAAATTCAAACCTATTCCCCGAATCTGTAGCCTCTGCACCCATGTCGAGCGGGTGAGTTTTTTCCAAACCTTTCCCTCGTCTCTCTCGTGCTAATTGGTAAAAATATATTTTTACATTTTCCCCACAGAAATGGAAAGTCAGCCAGACGAAAATCCGCGTCATCTCCACGTTGGTCTTCATCCTGTTCGGGTGCCTCATCTTTGTGGCGCTGCCGGCCGTCATCTTCAAGCACATCGAGGGCTGGAGCACCCTCGAGTCCATCTACTTCGTTGTCATCACCCTCACCACTATCGGCTTCGGGGACTTCGTGGCTGGTGAAAAGGGTCATTTGATTTTTTGTCTTTGAATTCACAGGCCGTCTTTCATCTGTTTGTTTTTATAGCTGAGTGATTCCTGGTTGAGTGGCTCTGACTCAACAGATGTTTGTCACAATGATGAAACGTCCACAATCATCCCATTCAAATAATTACAGGATACAATAACTGATTTTTCTGATCTCGTTCAACAAGAAAAACTACATTTTTCAAAATGCTGAGCCATTTCTTTAATGACTGACCCTGTGGCCTCAAGACCTAAATAATATGTATTATTTATAAATTATATAGAGTAGGCATAAGAGTATATGTGCAGAGACACAACGATAGGGGAGTGGCTATATGTGCTCCTTTTTAGTGAGTGAGCGAGTGGTTAGTTTTAGCTTGATGTGACCTGCTTGAAAGTCAATAGCTGAGATAGCCAGACATCTCCAGACCAAATCACATTTCATTTTCGATTTCCAAGATGCCGTTATCAACAATTGCAGAGCAAAATGCCCCTGGACACAATCGGCTGGAACGACACAGCAACAAAACATGTGACGCAGCAACAAACACTGTTAATGCAGCGGTTTAATCTTAAATGTAACGTCCATTTTATTTCATTTGGCAGATCAGTCATCGTGTTGAACCTGCTCCACTTTAGATTAATGGTTGTGATCGGTCCGACCTGTCTCAGGATGGATGGGAATCTGTCTGAAAGGGGCGGGGGGGGGGGCCCAGGGGGGGACCCATGTGCGTGAGCAAATAAATGAGTTCACTGACTGGTCTGGTTTCCAGGCGACGACAAGAGGGGCAGATGGGAAAAAACAGCTAGATTAAATTATCCTGAGCAGATCTAATGATTATAGATTAGATAACAGCAGCTCAACCCAGGTAGTATATTCATCAGCCCGGACCTGTTAGTTAAACTGGTGCTGTGATGAGTGGTTATCTAACCACACAGTGAGCAGACGGCCTGTGCTGCTTCATCCCTGCTGATATTTTACGAATCGATCCATCGGTACAGAACATGGTCAGTGATGGACGACATTTACACACACTGAAGGTTATGTTTGCAGCTGGATACGACTGATTTTATTTATTTCGGTAGAGTAAAGTAGAATGCAGTATGACTGCAAGTTTACAGATATATTCTTATCTAAATCAATATCTACTCCCAAGTCTAAATATCACAGAAAAGTCTGAACTCAGTGAGAGTCTCAGGGAGCAAAAATCTCTCCAATTTTTAGCATATAATGTATACGTATAAACAGAATATTTTTATTCTACAGTATGTGTTATTGTGTAGATGTTTTCTTTCTTATTGGTCTGAATTTATTTCCCACCTTTTTATATTCTTACAAAACGGTCCTGCACAGAAAGCTCAGGGACACAGCAGAAAGATATGACTGCCCACTAAGTTAAGGTATACAGGAAAACAGGGAATACCAAGGCTCACTGTGGAAAGACCTGTATTTTTATACCTCTGCGCCAGTGAATTAGGTTTTTTTTTTATGTTTGCCCATCCGTCCCATTCTCATGAACGTGATACCTCTGACTTGAGGATGAAGATCAAGAGTAACACGATGAGTAACACTCATTTTTTTGAATTTTTCTTGGGTTCTGCAGGTGCCTCAGAGAACAATCCAGACTACCTGGACTATTACAAGCCTGTGGTGTGGTTTTGGATCCTGGTGGGCCTCGCATACTTTGCCGCCGTGCTCAGTATGATTGGGGACTGGTTCCGGGTCATTTCCAAGAAAACTAAGGAGGAGGTACGTGGTGCTGTTAATATTATACCTGTATATAGCCTGTAGCTTCAATATTATACTTGTACAGGTATATTACATGCAGTATATAATAACTTTGACAACTTATTCCCAATTAATTCTATGGCAGAGACTAAAGGGCAGACTTCCTATAATAACTATACCTCATCAAATCAGTTGCAAAAACATCCTGTGTTTATTAACTTCTATTTTTTTTTAAATTTTTAAATTTCCACATCTGTTCCTGGCCAGATGACAATTCACCTGAATCAATTAAGGAAATCTAGAGAGTTCTTTCATGGGCTTCACTAATCGAAAAGCAGCTGAGACGTGGCTGAGGCAAGAGCTGTCAAACATTCCTCTGGTCAAATAAATGGATGTTTGCAACAATGAACTCCATTAATTATTGGTCCGTTGTTCGCAGTGAGGTTATTCTTTTCCATTAACCTATTCTGTCTGCCATCAAAGAATACATTAGAAAATAGAGACAAGAATTTTGTGCATTTGTGGTTGCTTATTATTTAACAAAAAGAAAACAGGACTGCTTTCTATTGTTCGAATCCTTTATTCCACACGCACATGCAAATTAGTAACAGATAACTTAGATGGTTTGTGTCTTTTTGTGCACATCACTGTGTATGGACAAATGTTCCAGTGAGTATTTCATTGATTTTCCTCAGGCAAAGGTCTGAAATATCATAATATCTTATCATTGCTGTTTAAAGATGAATATGTTTCCTGATAGGTAATAATTAACATACAAGTATTTCAGGAGTATTCAATTAAAATTCCAGTTGTCAACATCTGAGTGTTAAATTAAAGAAAGTATAATGCAATAATATGTTGAAATATTCACTATCAGATCTCACATTGAACTCTTTTTTCAAGAAATAATGAATAACAGAACGTTTTTAGAATATATTAGAAGATAATATAATTAAAGCAAATTTTAGATTTAAATTAATTAAGTTTCACTTTCTCTTTTTGGTAAAAATTGACTACTTTTCTCTTTTTAGAGCAATATACATTTTTTACTTATCTCTGAAAGCTAAATATTCATTGATTAAAATTGAAATGCTGTCAAAATTCAACAATCCTTAATAATTTGTTGTGGGTCAATATAGGGCGGCATTTGGGTTTACACCCAGGTGACTAATCCACCTATTAGTGACCTCTGCAGTATTTTATGTACTCAACAGTACATTTACAGTTTGTTTACAACACACCTCTGGCTTTTCTATTTCCAGGAAACCCACTGGTTGTCATTTCTTGAAAATCAGCGGGCACAAAACTTAAAAATGCTGCTCAGACAACATTATATCAGCCTGCAGGCATTAATGTTCTGTCTTCTCTCCGCAGGTCGGGGAGTTTCGGGCTCACGCAGCTGAGTGGACGGCGAATGTGTCAGCAGAGTTCAAAGAGACCCGGCGGCGGCTCAGCGTTGACATATATGACAAGTTCCAGCGCGCGGCGTCCATCAAGCGCAAGCTGTCCTCCGAGCTGGGCATCAACACAGCCCTCAACCAGGAAATGACCCCTGGCAAGAGGACGCTGTCGGCCAACCTGTACGAGGACAAGGAGGGTTACCCCAACTTGACTCTCTCACTCAGCCCTGTCCCCGGGGCCCTCACCAGGAACGGCACCCTCTACCTAAACGGCCTCAGCCCAGACTACGCCGACCGGCGGGAGATCGCCATCATCGAAAATCTGAAATGAGGAGCAGAGTGAAAATGAGATTCAGAGAATTGAGTGAAATGCACAATACACACTTTTTTGTGCTTATTGACTGCGGTGGTAAGGCTGATGAACACACATGGTTTAGAGTGATCATCAGCTCCAACAACTGTTTGATAACCTTGAGTGACTCAAACAGACCAATCCTCGTCCTCTGTACTTTCATGTGTGTTTTTAATACTCAGACAAAATCCTATTGGGTGCGATAGAGGTTCACAGGTTCCGTTCATTCAATGGAGTCCAACATCCACGACAACATGATCGACAAATCCGACGCGTGTCCTTGACTGGAGTTTCACCGTCTTCTCTCTGAGCAGGAAGGTATTTAAAGCCCATATTGAGGTAGCAACACACTGAACTTCATTTTCTTATGTCGCCTGTAAACACGGACACAAACACATTCACCCAACTCAGAAAAGCAATAGACACACGTGTGCTCATCTCCTGTTCTATTTCCAGTGGCCCTGAAATCTGCATCAGATAAAGAGGACCCTCCGATCGTGGCTTGTTCTTTTAGTTTTTTTTAAGTTTACAATTCTTCCTACAGTGTGAATTTATATGCCTTGTCAGTGTGCCCTCACTGCAGAGATGAATGTTGACGTTCTCGCTCCTTCACGACTGACATTCAGCTTTTCACCCTAAGGAAAAACCCGCTCGTGCCTTACTGAAAACCACACTGAACATGTGAGGATGGTGATGCATGAAAGACTGTGTCCGTCCACTCATACTTGTTATATGTGAGCACAGCAGGAATAAAGTAGGAGCCATCATGGGGGAAAACAGTATAAAGAAGAGGGAAATTTGTTTGATCATCTTGAAATAAGATTAATAACTGTGGCCTCTCTGTCTTGCAGGTGTGTTTTAGTTATTTACTGCCTGTCCTGATGTGCTGAGATAGTTATGTTAACCACACGGTGCCAGGCTCGCTGATCAAACCCCACTCTCCCCCATACCAAAGTAATGATCCTGCATTTCCCACAGAGGGATAAAAGAGGTCTTCAGCCTCATCAAAGGGATCAGGAGGCTTTCTGGTACTTCTAAAGATTTCCTGTCCTGTGCGTTTATAGAAATTCAAATGGAACCCACTGCTCAGTTTTTGGTGCGTTAACTGTCTTTTTTTCATGCATGCATGTATCGCACCATAGTATTGAAAGCTGTGCGGCTGTGAAGCATCTCTTTACCTTCCTGCTTTTCATGATGGAGGGAGTTTGGTAATAGTACTTCAACTGAGATCCATTATATCGTGCCAATACAGAATGTACGCCATCAAAAAGCTTTATTTACTGTATATATCTATGTATATCTATAGATATATAGAGAGACACAATTATCACTACAGATGTGTTTGAATGGCATTAGATAGAAAAAGAGTAGCTGCTTTGAATAAATTCCTCTGCAGCTGAATTTGTGTTGATAAAGATCATGAAAACGGCAAGAACCTCACTCTGATTAATTGTATTTAATCTTCATGTGGAGTTTTAAGCTATACGTTGGTCTAATATGTGTTATTCATGGTTCATGCCGGATTGCGTTTGATGCTGTTATGCAAGGTCGTGGTTTCTCCCAGCTGAATGGTTTGGGTTGTTTGTCTTATCTATGGTCTTATTTAGCGCTTTCGTGCAGCATAATGTGCTGTAATATTCAATACATCGGACAGTGCTGTTTTCAGTTTGTAGCATTATGAAGCACATTTAAAATACAGTGCATCTCACAAGACAGTTTTTCATGTGGCAACCCAAGTCTACTTTATACCTTGTGTCTTTAATTCATGGGGGATAGGGTGATACATTTACTACATGTGTGTTTTGCAGTTCGCTTCAGAGCATCAGCCCTGAAGGAAAATAAATATGTCCTTGCACCAGCAATTTTTAAATTAAAACATTAAACCTTAAATTTATCAAACTAATGAGGTTTTAAGCTTTTACTATTTACACTCACTGTAGTTTGCAGATCATAATAGATGATGGATATTTCCCACAGTTCTAAACCTGATTTATTATCTCCTTAATCTGAAACACATGTATTTTTCCATGTGTGCACAAATAAATGAAAGTAAACCTTACGGATGCTTGAACTTGATTTAGTAAATCACTATTATGAAATCAGCCAGTAGTCACAAATAATAATAATAATACAAATTTAGCAAGGGATTTACAAATAGCTGGTGCAACCTAATCCTGCCAATTGTAAGTGCATGTTACAGTTTCTCCGCTTGAATCTTGGTTTTCTTTAAAAGGCTCAAACATCTGCTCTGCCACCTTAAGCACAACCGCTGATTTGCGCTCTGACTTTACTGTAAGGTCAACTGCTGTCATGTGCAATCAAGTCAAACAGGGTTCACAGAGAGACACTGCAGAAAGTAAGAGTAAAGATGTGGGACTAAAAATAGCATCATGCCATTTTAATGTGATTGTGAAAAGCAATCAATATTATAAAATCACCTACTGTATGTCATACTTGCAATACACAATGTGCTGAAAACGGAGCGTGAAATGTCAGGCCATGTGAGGCCACATGCCAGGATGCGTGTGCATTATTGTGTTTACAGTAAGTGTGTGTGTGCGCGTGCATGACTGAACGTGTGAATATTGTGTGTGTGCACTGGGGTCTGAGGAAGCTCATTTCATCTCCACCCACTCAAACATTTTCACGTGGCAGCCTCTTCCTTTCCCAGGGTGACAGTTTTTAATTAAACCCACGGCTCATGTCAACATCCCAGCCCTAGCATGTTGAATGTATCGCTCCATTCACAATGGAAGAAATGAGCCTCATTAATGAATGTAAGGGCATTCATGATTTAAAGTTGCGATGTATGCGTAGGCAGAGCAGCTCAATTAGTGATTAATTATGTGGAGTCGACTCCAGGCTTCTTAAAGCCACTGGCCTTTAATCATATAGAAAAAGATGGTGCCATTAAAGATATGATGACAGAGAGGGGAATCATGTGGTTTCAGAGCAGTCGTTATAAATGTGCATTAGTGGAATCAATATCCATGTTTTCATCTTTAGTTTGATTTGGTCATTTGCCTCAAATGTATGCATGATAATGTTTTTAAATTAGGACCATTATGTCAAGGGACATCTCTAACGTTTAAATTTTGTATACAGCCACTTGTAGAACTTATAAACATGAGCGGTAATGTACACACATGCACATTTTAGAATTGTATGATTTCCACAGGTGTTGCATGCTACTTTTAAGTGTAACTTCCAGTGATTATAGATCGACGAGTCTATAATCACGAGGCTCTCCTTGTATGGCGACTATGTGTTTCCAGTATGTCGATATGTTACTGTGGGTATGTCACCTCAAATCACTTTTCAGGTTTAGAATAAAATTTTCTATTCAAAAACACTGACGATCACTGTTTTCTTCCTAGTTGAATTTCTTTTTCAACAAATCCAATGAAATGACCAGAGTAAAATGGGTCTGTTGCTCAATTCACTCTGAATTCCCCAGGCTGTCTGTGTTTTCAGACAATCTTTAAAAAAATATCTCACTCGTGTACAGTTTTGCTTCCGATAAAAAAAAACTGTAGTTTTTAATCATCCGTTAAAAATAGTGCCTTTGTTGTGGGATATTTACAGCGGCAGGATAACTGTGCAGTCACATGCTCCTCAGAAGGTCCCACTTCCCGAGTTGCCAAGTTGTCGTTCCTGTTCTTTGAAGTCTGATTGTGAAAAAAACATGGATGCTGAACACACACATAATCCTAAAAACATCTGTTCGCATTGAACGCAACTAAATCAGCAACCCTACTACTCATGTACCAACATTTTCACAGACTTTCAGAGTTGTTGTTCCAACATGAGGTGGCGTTCACATAGTTTTTTCCAGGTGGAAACACATTTTTCCGATTATACCAACAGCACTTGAATGCATAATTTCCGACATTTTTCTGCTCTTGTGAGTATTTCAGGCAGCAGGATGGTGCTGATGGGAATAAACAGAGGAAGAGGTGACCTGCTGCAGAGGTTAGGTACATATATATATTTTAAGTCTATATTATTTTAGATACGTAGATAAAACTTGTTTGATGAATCAAGTGTTAGTCTTGTTTTTTTCATTGGGTTTGAGGACTAGAACATTATGAGCCAGTGTCCTATACAAATTATTTCTGAAGACTTTCTTGTGCACAGAAATAATATTGTAGTGATTTTAGTCATTTGTTATTGTGAATTTCATCATAAGTCACTGATTTTTCTTTCTTTTCTTTAATTATGCAGCCTTTTCCCCAGATAAACAACTTGCAGCTGTTCTTAGCTCAACAATGATGGAGACAACGTTGCTCCGATCACATGAACGGTCGCCAGCAGATAATGGATCACGGCTGACAAAGTGATCTGAGTCACAAGTTACAAAATGTTCTCTGGGCCTCACAAGCACAGCGTGTCCCTAGAAGAGCTGCCACTCATGAGTCGCTGCATTGACACCAATCAATTTGTATATCATAACCTCCCATGTTTGGCTTTGATGATTTCATTTTGTACTGTTTGTACAAACAGGACAACTTTCCTAGAGTACGTCTTCCATCATCAAGGCAAAACCCGCTCTGATCAGAGCCTGTGATGGTTTTCTTTAATGCGAGCTGACGGGTTTACTTAATGACTCTAAAGATGGAGAGTGACAGGACGTGTCACCTTCCAGCCTCTGCCCTGTCAACGCTCAGCACCACAAGCGAATGTTGCATTACACTGAGACGGCTCCAGCCACGACTCGGTGCCATTCAAATGGGAGACAATATGACTCTGATTGTAAATTGAATTTATAGAAAAGCAGGAAGCAGCAGATTTCTGCCTTTTGTGTGAGCTCGTAAAAAACAGTCTCACTTCATTTATGTAGATACTGTAAATTTAGAAGAATTAGAATTTAGAAAAAGGTTTTTTTTTCTAAGGAACACGTAGCACACGGCACAGAGTAGGTCTTTATTGGTTATAACTGTATTAGTGAATCCATGCAGGCAGTCACACAAAGCACTTGAGCAGGAGTAGCCAGCCCGGTTGGAGACGGGTCGGCTCATTAGTGATTCTGTCTGCTGTGACTTCAGAGAAAACCAATGACTCAGCCACCAACCACGACCATATCGGGCTGGAGAGGTACAAAGTGAGAGAGACGGTTTCCTCACAGGTTGAGAGCAACTGTGTGTGAATGTAGCTTGTGTGTGTGTCAAATTCCTGTGACAGGTCCTGTGCAGACTGTCCCATTCTATGGTTATTTAGCTTATGATTGACTTAATAATGTGTTTTCTTTCTTCCCCCCTCTTTTTTAAAGAAGAAGTTTCTTTGCACTTATTAAAGAGTCCTGAGCCAAGAAGCTGTGACCATAAGAGGTCACACGATTCAGCAGCTCCAGGATGTCGCTGGAGTTTTGGGAGATTGTTTTAAGTTTT